AACTAAAAATAGGCTAAGAGACTATTATACCCCTTATTTCACTCACTCATGCTACAGTAACGGTACAGTGACCAAAATCCGATAGTGACCAAAACCGATAGTGACAAAAAATTAAAAAACATTCTGTTACTACAGCCCATTGACCACCTGGGCAGTGACCACCTGACCCATCCAGTTACATGAACCGCAGTTTACAGTTACAAGAACCGCGATTATAGTTATCCGATCCGTCCAGTTATAGTTACCCGACTCGACCCCAGTTACAGTTACTCAATCCATTCAGTTACAGTTATCTGATCTATCCCATATTATAGTTATCCGACCTATCCAGTTACAGTTACCAGACCCGTCCAGTCACAGTTACCCGATCCGATAGTGACCAGTGCTACTACCACGTCAACCACGACTGTCGGTCCTGCCACCGCAGCCGGTGACCTGTCGACGCTGCTGATGGCCTGCCGGCACCACTGACCAGGCAACTTCAACCCTCTGGCCCCACCACCGCCACCAGCTGACCGGACCACCACCACCGCCTACACCAAATCCTTGTCTTCCGCCACTTGTCTCTGCTCCGCCCTTAGGTTAACCAGCCTTGTCCAGTTCCAGATCTTTTCAAGGTCGACCAAGATCTTCCTTCTGCCACTCCTCCCTCCTAAATATGACGAAGCACGTCACAAGATGGATGGATCTCGCCTCTGGAGGATGTAATTTCTGGAACTTAGACGAACATGATCTCGATCATCCCCAATCACCAATTTAATGCATATGATGCAACCGGCCCTCCTAAAGACTGCCACCACACCCTTAACATAATCACGTGCCACAATAATGCCTACTGCATTTTGGTATTCTCTCTCCTCAAATATTACAACGTAAAATCTTCGGCATTAATCTCATATGCCTTTTGTCCAATCCATTCAGTTTCTTGCACACACATAATGCTGATACTCCTCTTCAGAACCTCGACTAACTTAGATGATCTTCCCGCAAGAGAGCCAACATTTTACGTCCCAAAGCACAATCTAGCACCCTGCCTTCTATTCTTCACACCACATCGACCTCCATCATGCCCTTGCATATTTGACATCACCCCAGGTATTGGAGAGGCGTGTCGCTTACGGGAAATGTCCTACCAACCTTAGCATTCTTATCACCACACCCAAACCTATGAAATGTAGTGTGCTCTACGTAAATTTATTACTAATAAGTACATAAAAAAGTGAGAAGTGCACAATAATTAAAAAATGTATACATAAAATGACTACAAAAAAGGAATTAATTCTTAGTGTGTAATTGCATCATAAAAGTATAAGATAAAATGAATAGTTAACGAAAATAGTGTACTAATATATGCAATAGTATTTATTGCACCTGTAGCTATTTTTCAGTTTGCAATGAAGCTATTTGCACAAGAAAATCAATTTTCAATCGTAAATCCAAACTCTTAATGAGTATCTTAGATATCTTCAGACTTTTCAATTCACTACAAATGAGTAACGTGTAGGTATATCCATTCCCAAATTATTAGTAACCTTGCTTTCATTGAGGTTAATAAATAACTAAATGTTGTGGTATTTAGAAATATGTCACTACTTATTCTCCAAGTTTTGCACAATCCGATTCAATTTTGAACAATTTAGATAATTTTTTAATTCTCTCCCAAATCTCAATTCTCAATGAAATCACACCCTTTATATATTTGTTCATCATCATCATCATTACCTCATCATCATCATACATTTTTGTGTGTGTAAAGATATAGAACTGTTTAAGACTTCTCATTTGAAGTGATGAGGGTATTTTCCATTTCAGCTTTCTTTTTTGAAGTATAAAAATGATTTTGAGATGTAAAATAGATTAAAGAAAAAACATTTCTTTCTAAAATGAATATCTTACAATTTTCAAGTAAAAACATCTTTAATATGAATTTGTGGGGTAACGGGCTAATAGCTAACTTGAACATTTGAACATTTTGAATCACGGCAAAATGTTTGGCATGATGAGAATTTTCACTATTAAGTTGTTGCAATTCTAATTGGTGGATGAAGAGGTGGGTACAATGGTGATGATTATGCGTCTCTGTGAGGCAACGTAGGCCCCTTTGGGGTAAAGCTTATGTCCACTTTGTGTCGAACTAGCGTGTGGAGTGAGAAACTAAAGATACATTCACAAGACGATATCATTGATGTCGGGGAATGGCACGTGCATGCCCATCAAGTTCGCTAGCCTGTTATGGATACGACTATTTAAAATTTCAACAATACAACAAGGAGTATTTAAAATACGAAAAAACATCAACCCCATAAAGAGGCTAGATTGAACGCGTTTGGAAATTAAATGTGCTTAAATGATACCATTACTGTTTTCTTATCAAAAGGGCTCAATTGCATGTTTGGAATAGTAGATGAATTTATTTGATCGTTTTCTTACAAATTTATATTCAAGTATAGTTTAAGAATTATATAACACATTTTCACATATTTGCATCCCCTATTTTGTCTATTTACACATGCAATTGGTTTATTAAATGCAATTCGTATAAATTATAGTCATCATATTACTTAGTCATTATAAATAATTTATGTTCAATTAATATAAATAAACCTTTGAAAATGGAAAAATTCTTTGCCAAAATCATTTGTGCATCGTGCAGGCGAGTTACTAGCAAAACATTTTATTAGAAGGAAGGATTTTAATAGGAGTTAGTGTCGGGCAGAAGGTGTTATTGTGTTAATTCACGTGTATTTTCTTAACACCTTCATGTGTTGGCTCGCCATTCCTGCGATAATACCCATGCATGACTTATTATGTCATGGCTATAAATAAAAGTCAAAGACACTCTGTGTCGCAATTAGTTAGTTGTTGAAAAAAACTTTTTGTAATCGGGGTCACCTTTGTTTGATTGTGTCAAGAGTAACCAATCGGTGAACATTAACAAATCACATTGCAAACAATGATGAGGGAACAAATATTGAAAATTGAAAATGTTGTGTATAAAGAAGTGTTTCATAACATTTAGCTTGAAATCTAACGTGTTTTAAAATTATATTTATATTGTGTGTAATCATTGGTAAATCATATTCGTTATATTTCATTTTATATCAAAATTTATTATTATACGAAGTATAATTCTAAACGATACAATTAAATGTACAATTTTTTTCTTCAAATTTGACAAAAATTAATTACATTTGTGAAAATTCACCAACCGTGCATCGCACGGGTGTTTTACTATTCTTGTCTAGAAGGAAGGATCTTAAAGTGATGCCACCATTTCATATGGCAAGTCCTGTAAAAGGAAAGTTCGACTATTCAAGGAATGGATGTCCAAATGATTCAAATGAAGCGGTATGGAAACCTATAAATAAGGAACAAACCGTTGAAAAATGTGAGTTTGACCGAAACAGAAAATACATGAAGAAGATTTCCCTTGAAGTATCATAGAAAACCAAGCTCCTCGAATGGTTCATTTTGTAGTTCTAGCTTTAGTTCTTTATCATTTACTTGTTAAGGGTTTGAGGGAAAGCTTTGTGAATGTTTCCTCCCTCTGGTTGGGTAGCTAGTGTTGTGAGAAGCTTTGTTGTAAAGATGAGAGACTCTCTACCCGCAAGGTAGAGATGCAAAACTCTTTCTAGAGAGGATAGAGTTGGGGGTGACTCAAGGTTGACTAGTAGGGTTTATCTTGTACCATTTCAAAGGCTTTAGTGAAGTTGTTTCAAATTCCTCCGAAGGAGGTCGAAGTTTTTTAATCCTTTTTGAGTCAAGAGATTTTTTTCTCGTTAAATCTTTGTGCTCTTACTTTCTGATCTTCCCTTGCCCCGCACTAGAACTCGGCGAAAAACTATCATAGTTCTACACAAACACAATTCACCCCCATCTTGTGTTACTAAACGGTTCATAGTAGTTTACATGTTACTCCCTCCGTCCCGCTAACAATGAGACAAGAGGAAGTGACACGCAAATCAATAAAAAGTGATTTATGTGGTTGATATTGAATTGATAAAGTAGGAATAAAGTAAGTGATTTAGAGTCACACAAACTTTGCCAAATTTGGTATGGGACAATCTTAATGGAATGGACCGATAAGGTAAAACGGGACAATCATAGCGGGACGGAGGTAGTAAATGTTTGTACGTGAAGTGATTGCATGCAAAATTTAGGAAAATAAGCACTATGTCCTTAAAATAGATTACATTGTTTGACTACATGTGTAATTTATTATTAACTTGCACGTAAAATCATTGGAATGCTTTATAAAAATCATGCAAAATATTTTATCACCTTCCCCAACGTAAAATACTTTGCATAATATAGTGTGAAATGTTTTTAAAAAGTGTCATATGATATACATTAAATAAGCAATTCAAACAATATTTATTTAAGTTTTTTATTTAAGTTTTTAGTTATTTAAAAGTTCAGTTTGAAGTAATTAATACGAAGTATTTATTCTGCCACAATATCAGGCTACAATCTAATCTTTATTTAAGTTTTTAATTAAGTTTTTAAGTATAATTAAGTTTTTAAGTTTTTTATTTGAGTTTTTAGTTATTTAAAAGTTCCAGTTTTGTGCTTCTGATCTTAAAGTTATCATATAAAACTAGTTTTTAGCTTAGTAATTTATATGTCACATGTTGTAATGCAAATGGACGATAGACTTAGTTTTGAAGATTAATACGGAGTAGCTCCTATTTGTCAATTTAGAGACTTAAATCTCTAAGCTTTTATGTTCTTCAGTCAGGGACTGATTCCGCCGTTCAGTTCAAAACCTTGCCGGAGAGTTGAGAACCGCACTTCAATGTAGCGTATTGAATGCCTCATTCTGCAACTTCTCGTTTGCTCTTATCATATTCAATGTTGCATTTAATTCTCTTAACTCTCTCTGTTGCACATTTATATCTGATTTTCGTGTAAATCAAAACCAACATATGACATATCACATATACAAGGATTAGAAGTAAAGCGTTGTGTCTTGAGTTTTACTGCACAATGACAAATCTGGAAGGCTTGGAACATGCACCATTATGTTTGATAGTTCAAATTAAAAAACTTAGCTTACAAAATTTGTATATAATGTATCTCGCAAAATTGATCTCCTTTTTATTTCCATTAATTCCATGTGGGTTTTTTCCTAGCTAGGTTGTTGTATAGCTAATCATGTTGGTCCTGGAATATGCTTCTGTACTCCTGTACATATATATTTTTTCCTCTAACAATAACAGCAAAACACAACGCACATTCCTTTAACATAGGATTTGTCTTGGGCTATGTTCGGCAGGAGCTATTCAGCCGATAATAAATGCACTTTTAATCTCTGAGAACTCATGCCTTCAATCTTCATTGTTAACTTGTTGTAAGTCCTGTAATCACAAATCATATATGGTCTTGCAGAGTTGATCCAGAAACATTCCGGTGTGAAAAGAAACCTTCTTCCTAGGTGTGCTATAGATGGACCGCCAAACCTGGTTTCCGGAGACCTGCGAAGCTCTGCACTGCAACATCGCAGGGGTGGAAGATCTCATCTGGGCTGCGTTGTCCTGGTTATGTCGGTGAAGATTTCACGGTCACTTTTGTGGGAGACCATATCTGGACGAACAAGCAGACCCTCAATGCGCCAAACCTGTTATAGTACCTTTAAAGCATTTGAAGCAAGACCAATCGGTCATGATGCATATCTTGATCTACCTACGTACCTGTGTGTATTATATACACACGTATGTACTCCGAACTTAATATTTAAATAATTAAAATATAAAATCATTATAATAATATTTAATTCTATTAATAAATATATGTCCTTTTATGTAATTTCATTTACCCGGTCACTTTTTTAGCTCTTTTGTCAAACGGATTTACTTCATTCAGCATTTCAGCTAGCAGTTCAGCTTCACCGCATTAATATTCAACTACAAACAAAAGTCTCTGGTTCAGACAATAGCCCTCATTAGCCTCCATTTTCAACTTGTTGCGACAAACATAACCATGGTCGCCATCTCCAAGTCTAACAACTCTAGTATAGTAAATGCCTTTCATTTTAGCTCATGCAAGGGTGCACCTTTATACATTTCATATGTAAAACATGTATCGAGAAGAGGAAACTCGGATGAAGAGTGTGCACCAAATGTTGTGGTACATTCAAAATGAAAAAGAAGAAGTTGAAACCAGTTAAAAGTATTCAGATAATCACAGGAAAAGAATCACTTCACAAAGATGGAAAAGATTCAAAATGGAACTTGTTTATGAAAATAAAGGTTGAAATCAGTCAAAACCATGCATCTGATAGTTTGTGCAATGCTATTAGCTTTTTTGCAACATCCTTGAAACCCAGATCTCTGGGAATCTAGATGTCACCTTCTACTTTAGGCAAAACCATATATCCATTTCATCTTTTTCCCAAATGAAAAATGTGGATCCATCATACTCCAGGTCAATCACTTTCAAGAATGGATTACAAGGCAACACAGTTACATGTATTTCTTTATCAGTTAATAACAAATATAAGGGCCATATTCTGCCAAACATTATCAATAAATTCCCCAATTCAAGGAGTCAGCAGTCGAAATTGCTGAGAATCTCTCAAAAATCAAGCCCCCAAGCCAATAAAATCATTCATCTGCGATCTGGAAAATAATCAAAAACATTGTAAACACATCCTAGGAGATACAAAGCAGACCTACAAAAACACTGGTAAATTAATTAATCATTATAAGAGCAAAAGCAATTCAGATAGTCAGATGATTGTAGTAAAGCGATCACTTTACATAAAAAGAATCCAAAACCTTTCAAAATGGAAACCCTTTACGAGTAGTCTTCTTCTTTGAAGTTTCAGCCAATCTACTCATGTATTTCGTAGTTCTGTAAAACACCATTAGCTCCTCGGCAACATCCATTGAATGACATTCTATAAAAACCTTGAGGAACCGTTTCTCTGACATCCGTAATGCCTTCAACAACAAAGGGCCTTTTATTTGAGGCTGAAGACCCATATCGTCTATCTTCCCCCCTAAATGAAACCTTGTTTTTATCACTCTCTCCAGATTAACCAATACCAAAAATGGGTTCTGGAGCACAACATTTGCACTTAGCTTCATGGTACCCAACACAAAAGTCATATTCCGCTGAACTTTATCTATGGAAAGTGTCAACAGGACAGGCGACAGTCCAAGAAGCCTAAAAACTTCATCCTCTGTAAATCCGAACTTCTCAAAATTTGTCACCTTCTCAAGAATAGTCTCAGTCCTCGAAATGGCAAAAATTGTAAGCATGTGCTTATACATCTTGGAACCTGCTCCTACACCCGTTTTCCTAATAATCCCCAACTTCACATCATCTAAACTACTTCTCCGGATTATAGTAGGCCTGCAAACCAACAAAGGTATTAAATCGTCTTTAATAACACCCATTTGCTCGTACATAGCAACAACGGGTTCAATCTGAGTATGGATGTCGTATATGAGCAACGAAGGGTTTCTCACAATGGCTTTACGAAGCACTTGTTCCGACTGGAACAGGGAGTGGAGGTACTGGAGACGTTCATCGAGGAACCTGTCAATCCGATAATTCAGGAACCGCGGGCGGCAGTTAACGATCTTTACGAGGTCGGAAGAAGTAAGGCCGAGGTCGCAAAGAACCCTAAGCTTCGGCTGGAGGTTGGTCGGCTTCATATTCCTCACCGACGGTAGGCGTTGGAGAATCTGGGAAATGTCAGCTTCGGAGCAGCCCCATTGCCTCAATATTGCAGAGGAGTCTTTGTCTTCAGATATTCTTGGGGTTTCTGTTTCAGAGGAAGATATGAATGGTAAGGCGACTGTGGTAAACAAAACTTTATTAGGGTTTATATTTGGAGATTTGGGCGATAATGCGATTAATTGGCGTAAGTGAGAGCGAGAATGGAAGAAAGCTTTGCGGGTCGGGAGGACAGTCATCACTGTGTCATGACAAAGAAAACAACGACAGCGGCCCGCCGGTAGCCCCTCACCGATGGCCTAGCTCATTCCCGGCTCGGACCTCCTTCGCAACCTCTTCTTTTCCGCTATTGGATAGATCTGCTCCCTCACATCCGAAAGTAAGTCATTTCTTTCAACTTTCCTTTTTTGTCAGTCCTATTTAATTTTTTCAACTCTCCAAAAAAAGAAATTAACTCATACTAAAAACCCTATTTTATCCTTTCCGATTAAAAAACTTTTCCCATTCCCATCTCCCCTTTACCCGTCCGCATCCATCTCTCTCCCATTTACTCCCACCTGCATCTCTCTCTCCCATTTACTCTCACTCCCATCTCTCTCTCATTTACTTCCACCGCCTCCTCTTTCTCTCTCACTGCATTTGTCCTCTCAATTACTCAACCGTCTCCCTCTCTCGTTTACTTTCTCCGTCTCCCCCTCTGTAAATTTATCTACCCTTCCGCCTCCCTCTGTCTCACATTTTTATGGATCTGAACCCTAATACTTTGAGTATGGAGAATATTGAACACTTCATCGTCCCTGACAGTGAAGAGGGTCTTCTTCCGGAGGAAGTGGTGGCGTTGGATTTTGCAAACCCTGTATTGTATTGGTACTCCATCCGAGATGCATGGCTCGGAACTCCCCGGAAGAGGATGCCCTCCTCATTATCCCGGACAGTGAAGAAGAGCTTCCCGAGGATGTAAGCGAGAAGCCTACAAAGGTCGTGGGGGAGACGGTGGACCCAAATCGGCTTAAAAGACGCAGAGACATTGACATACATCCTATTCGGAGAAGTCCCTGACTGGAGGAGATCCTAAAAATAATTTTGCCAAAATGGGAAACAAGGATGTGGGACGTGGACATAGATTAGGGGAGTTTCTTCTGTACTCTATCATTGTTTATGGTTTAATTCGTACTCTATGTCCATTGTGTGAAATTTGGGGGAAGCAATGATGAAAAATGGTTTCATTGATGTTTATTATGATGCATGTGGACTGTACATGGTGGTTTGGTATTATAAATGGTAGTTAGGCATACTATGATGAAAGTAGACCTTGTGTGTACCGGTCCTTTATGCATACTGTCATGAAACGGTCCCTTTGTATTCTGGTGATGGAGTATATGGCCCGGGAACCCCCGGCCCACAGACTCCTACTACTCCTTTAGAGGCCCAACAGGCCCAGAAGGTCCAACAGGCCCAAATCACAGCGCCCAGAGTACCAAGCAGCCCGCACTACGCGCCAGGGGTGCCTTCGGCCCCCTGGCCGAAGGCTCTAAACTCTCACAGAACGGGTTTCTCAAGCAAACTAAGAAACTGGGAGAAAACGGCGAAAACAGTAGCCCTCGGCACTGTGAGCCCTCGGCACCAGGGTGCCATCGGTTGGAGGAGCCCTCAGCTACTGCTCTATAACCGAAGGCATCTCACTCGACAAGATATCCGCCTCACATGCGTACAGATCACCGTACCCTGTACAGACGTCCCATCCAACAGCCGCATTAAATGCGGCCACATGCGGCTGCCAGCGCCAACCAGTTGAGGTGACCCCTCGGCCAATGAGCGCTTGACACGTGTCCCTGCCCGGCATTTATTGCTACTATAAATAGCATCCCATTTCCCCATTTGTAACCACGCTGAAAAACGGCATTCATACTGAATACACTCTCTCTCTACTTTTACTTACTTGCTCCGACTTCTCTCTAAATTATTCCCCGTAATAACCCTTCGGATATATACCCCCGGGTAGACTATCCATCATTTGGTGCTCTCGTTGAGAGTTTGAACAGAATCAAGTAAGAAACCCTCCCCCTTGACCAAACACAAAACACTAGCCCTCTATCAAAATGGTGAGAACAACACGTGCCAACTCAAAGAACGTAGAAGACAAGAACCTGGCCCTCGGCGACGTCAACGCCCCCGAAGCCTCTCACAGGGCTCTCGAGGGCGGTGTCATCGTCGGGCTGGAACAGGCGGCTGTCGACCTACGCCTTCAGATCCATCAAAATGCCCCCGATGCCCGCCTCGGCATTGAGGCCAAGAAGAAAAACCGGAGCGATGACCAAGTCAGCCCTCCGGTTCTCACTATCGCGTGCAATCGGCGCTCTCCGCCTTCATCCAAACGCTCACCCAGAACCCGGGTGCCTTCGGCACCCTGGCTCCAGCTCACCCTCAGGTTGGGGAAAACATCATACTTCCCCCTCTGCCACACCCTTTCGGAAATCCCACCCCTCGGGTGAGGAACGACGAGGGGGTGGTGGCCCAAGATACGTCCTCCTAGGAAGTTCAGTCCCGGGACCGCCATAATGACAACAGGGAAAGGCCCCGTACTTCCGCCCTCAACCGGCTCGGAGGAGGGCCAGACCGCCGAGGGGTCCAAGACCGCCTCGGGGGGAAAGCACTCCAAAGGCCCCAGGAAAGCGGGGGATCTGTTTCGAGGGAAGACGAGAAGTGTCCCCCTCGGGACAAAGGCAAGGCACCCCTTCATCCCGATGACGCTCGCCACCAGATCAACCAGGCCCACTCGGCCCGGGTTCGTTCGCAGGGGGCGGAGACCCTCCCGAAGGATCCCCGGGACGAAATTATTGCGGCCCTCCAACGCCGGCTTGACGAGATGGAGTCCAACAAAGCTCACGCCACTACCTCCACCCCTCATTCAGATCTCAAATACGAGGCCATGATGGCCAAAATGGAGGAGTTGCAGAAGAAGGTGGCCGAGGGCTCCGTAGAACCCGTCATCCAGCTCCGGACTCGGACGCCATTTACCCCAAGGGTATTGGCGGCCCGGATCCCGGAGAAATACCGAGGGCAACACATACAGCCCTACAACGGGAAAACGGACCCCCAGGAACACTACAGCAAATACCAGAACAGCATGATGATGGTGGGGGCGTCAGACGAATATTTGTGTCGATGGTTCCTCTCCACCTTAGAGGGACCGGCATACGAATGGTTCAACAGGCTGCCCGAGGGCTGCATTGATTCGTGGCAAGAACTCGCCCAGCGATTCTTGACACAATTCGCCGGGAGGCGTCGCACAAGGAAGCACTTCTCCCACCTCCTAACAATACGCCAGAACAAGGATGAGACCCTTCGGGATTTCCTGGAGCGTTGGAGGACGGAGGCCGACAAGGTCGACGGTGCTGATGACGGGACCCTCCTGGCCCTCCTACAAACCGTCCTCCGCACCGGCAATTTTTCAAGGAGCCTCATCATTGAACCCCCCCGCGACTACATAAGGGCTTTGCAGCGGGGGGACCGATATGCTGAGGCCGAGGAGGTGGAGAAGTATCACCAGCATCCGGACCAGCAGCCCCCGAGGGCTGACAACAAGCATAACCGAGGGCCGGGGGCTCCTCCAAATCACCCCAAGGCTTCGGGACCCTCTGATGACCGCCCTCGGCAAGGCCAAGCCAAGCCCGGGGGAGGATATAAGGGCAACCCCAAGACTTGGGCACAGCCCATTCTCCTGGACCGCCCTCGGACACCATTGACGCACCCCGTCAGCATCATCCTCGATTTTGCCGAGGAGAGGGGCCTCGTTGAGCGTGATTCTCGCGCACCTCCGGAGGTACACGCTATCAACCCTCAGTTCCCCTACTGTCGCTTCCATCGGCACCAGGGGCACAGGACCGATGACTGCCATCAGCTGAAGACGGCCATCGAGAGATTAATACTGGCGGGGCACCTGTCCCAATTTGTCCAGAGCCCTCGGCAGGAGGGACCTTCTCATCAGGGACCTCCCCGAGGGCACCATACGAAGGTAAATGCTTGGGTAAACCCGAATACCATCCCCCTCGGAAAGAAGAGGGAGATTGGAAACTTGGAAGAAGAGGAGGAGGAATACCCCCACTACCAGGAGAAAAAACGCCACATCCTCATGATCACCGGTGGCAATACAGGGGGCGATTCCACCAGCCAACGAAAGAAGTGGGCTCAATCGCTTTACGTGGGGGAAGTCACTCATATGCCTCCGGTAAAGCGACTGAGGGAGGAACCCATCACCTTCACCAACGCAGATCTCCCTCCTACTTCTTCTCCTCACAGGGATGCCTTGGTGATTCGGACGGAGATAAACGACACCATTATTCACCGAACTTACATTGACACGGGCAGCTCCGTCAATGTAATGTACCTCAGCACCTTCAGAGAGCTGCATCTGGAGAGGGGGTCCCTTCAGCCCATTAAGACCCCTCTTGCCGGCTTCACCGGCGATACTATTGATTCCGAGGGGGTAATAACCCTCCCGGTGATCTTCGGCGACGGGCTCCATAGAGCCCAGCTCGAGGTGGAGTTCGTCGTCGTCAACATTGATTGCGCCCACAACATCATCCTCGGCCGGCCAGCCCTAGAGGACCTCGAAGCCATCATTTCCATGAGGCACCTCTGCCTCAAATTTCCCGCCGAGGGGGGCATTGGCTACTCCCGGGGGAACCAGAAAATTTCCCGCGCCTGCTATCTTCAGGTCACTAAGAAGGTAAGCAAGACGGAATTCCGTGTTGACACCATCACCGGAACCATCGACCAAGAGGAGAGAAGGCCGAGGGCTGAACCGGCTGAGGACGTAGAAGATTTTGCGCTCGATCCGGCCCAGCCGGAGAGAGTCGTGAAGATTGGAGCCCAGCTCCCTGAAGATTTGAAGACCGGTATCACTGACGCCCTCCGCGCCTACTCCACTGTCTTTGCATGGGGGCCGGAGGACATGCCGGGAATCAGCCGAAGGGTCATCACCCACCGCCTCTCGGTGGACCCCTCGGCAAAAGCAGTACAACAACGAAGGAGACCCCTCTCCGCCGAGAGGAGGGAATTCGTGAAGAAGGAGGTCGCCATGCTCCTCTCAATTAAGCACATCAAGGAGGTGAAATACCCCTCATGGCTAGCCAATGTAGTCCTCGCACAGAAGCCCCCTACCTTCCGCATGTGCGTGGACTACACCGATCTCAACAAAGCGTGCCCTATGGATCCATTCCCTCTACCAAACATTGATCAACTGGTGGATGAGACCGCAGGGTGTGAGATCATGTCCATCCTCGATGCCTTCCGAGGGTACCACCAAATTTTCATGCACGAGGAGGACGCCGAAAAAACTGCCTTCATGACTCCCGAGGGCATCTTCTGCTACCTAGTGA